CCCGCCACGTATTTGGCTCATTTATGTACTATCTTCAGGCAAATACCAGCTTTCCAATGCACTCAAAACCGAGTGTTTTGAGCCAGAATCGACGAAGTTATGGGGTTTTGTAGTAATCAAAATTTTCTCTCAGCATTGATCAGCCAAATTCCAGCATCTGTTACAGGTGGTAATCTGGTGATTATGAGGGTTTATTGTTAGTACACTCACCAATATGAACCCCAAAAATACGGAAAAATATGCAGATTGGAGATCTCAAACCAAGGAACAGAATGCATATTTTTTCATATTTTTTGCTCTGTTTCTGACCTTTCCAGATTTTTGTATACAAATAATTTAATTTTCTGCCCAGAAAATGTTATGTTTCTTGTAGTGTACAGCTGTCCGACCACCGCGTGTCTTCGGACTGGTGTTTTGGTCCGTTTTCAATCTACTAACTGTCCTTGACAGCGCTCTGAAATCGTCAGTCAAAGACTCTACCCTTTCACTAAGTTCATTTGTTTGATGTCGAAGTTGCCGAATGAGTATTGCATCCTCTGCTACCTTGCGCTTCAGCTCAGGTATTGACCACTCTTGGGCTCCAGTGGTTTCATCAACATCGCTGTGGGTCGTAGGAGCAGTCTGGGCGTGGCTCGAAGGCTTTTCAGGCATATGGGTCGAGCGGGAAGGTCGCTTCGTGGAAGAGGGTGTATCGTGATGGCCACAAGCGCTCTTGAGATTTGCATCTTTTTCGATCCGATGGAAAGAAATATCGGACTGTATGTCGGATATACTGTTGATCTCCCACTCACTTCCTGAATCATATGACCGATGTTTGTTTGACTTGTGTTTTGCCGAGTTTGAAGACGAATTTAGCATGGTTGGCTTGGGGCGAGGGTAGGCCAGACGCCCATGCTCTAAGCTTGGAAAGTTTGGAACCGGGGTTTGTGACGTCGATTCAGAGAGACTTGGACCGTAGGAATGAGACATAGAGCTTGTGTGATCTTGCACTTCAAAGAGATCAAACTGTAAACTTGACATCATCTTCATAGAATCTTTGGGGAGCAGGACTTACAACCTTTTGGTTGAGTATCCAACGTCAGACAAGTGACCTCTCCCCTGTCCACACCTTTCCCTTTCTGTGAAGTCGTAGGATGCAAAGAAAGAGGTGCTGATGCTTCAAGTCGGACAATCGCGGACACGCGAGAACCTTTAGATGTACTTGCTTGCGAAGAAGGTTTTGATTTGGAACCCTTTGGCGATGAGTTGGATGAGGGCGCTCGTAAAGCTGGCGACGATGTTGAACCCAAGGCGGTTTTGACAGTGGAACTCCGAGACGTCCTACGTGTTGATAAGTGAGATAGATCTTCTGATCGTGTACCATCTCCACCAATCTGAATACTCGTGTCATCCGATGTGGAAATTGAAGATGAGACCGTTTGACTTAGATCTGGTGCAGTCAAAATGCGCTGATCGTTCTTCTTCTTCTTTTTCTTAGTTACCTTCTCCTTTGGAAGTGAACGTGTTACACGAGGCAGAGCCAAAGAAGTTTGCCGGGGCGAGCCTTCTTCAATGATTGAATCGCTCAAGCGGGAGTATTCAAGAGATTGTAAATTTTCTACTGTAGTCAACGATGGCTGTTGAGGCGTAGTCGAAGGCAGATTTGTTTGGGAATTGTTAGTAGATTGAACTGGTGGAGAATCACCAAATGGGATCTCCAACGTGAATGCCGAGGAAGTCTGGAAAGTAGTCGAATGATTCGTATTGGTGTAAAAGTCTGCTGGGATAATAACTGTTTGTATTTGAAAAAGAAAATCGAGATGTGAGTTTTAAGAGAAAGACTGGTACATAGAATAACAAAATCGAACTCACTCAGCTCATGGTAAGCCTGGCACTGAGTAATCAATTGTGCTCTATCTAGTGGACCAGTGTCGACGCCAACAGTTCGCAGCAGGTCCACCAATTGTGAATCGTTAAATTTACAGAAGTCGGTGGTTGGTGTCTGCACTTCATCCGCAGGAGGGCTGGCAGGTGTGACCAGGGGTACAGTAGGTATGGAGGAAGGAGCGTTCGGAGGTACAAGCGTGGAAATCTCGGATTGCCTTGCGCGAGCTTTTTGAGTGGCCGATTTGATTCGTTGTCGATTTTCATCTGTTCTCAACCGCTTTCTCTGGATGTGCTTGCCAAGAAGCTCCAAAAGCCCGTTACGAGTCGTTTTGGACCCAATCGGTACACCGACTTCATCCAGACGCTCTTCAACACTGGCTTGAGTCAAAGGGACCTGCCCTTCTATAAGATAGACGTGTGAGTATGATGAAACTCCAGTTCAGGTAGCGCAAGAGAAATGATCAAACAAGGAAAGAAACAACTGACTCTCGGAATCATCTGAGTCAACTACACTTTTCCTTCTTTTCTGTGATGTTCTGGTCAATCTCATTCTAAAAGACTGACGTTACTGACTGTCACTATTGACTAAGATTTAATGCTGGCGTAAAAAGATATACTTTGAAAACTATTGACGATACCTGCCAGGACCCGCTGGTGATAATTGATGAATTTTTGGAGGAGATATACAACAAGATTTAAAACTTATACTGTAGCCAAATGAAAGATTTGAAAATGAAGATTTGAAAACCGAGAAGAGTGCTCAGGATTTAAAGTCAAACAGGATTCATCTTAATATACATTAAGACAAAATGTTAAGGTAAATGTTCAAAGGCGGTCGTGATGTGCAACTGCAACAGACAAAGTAAAAGGTTGAGAATACCACTCTTACTAATGCAACAATGGACTCGGTTACGGACATCTTCCCCTTTCCTTTCAAGCCGGAAGATAGCTTTACATAACAAAACTGATGTAAGGAAAGTGAGCAACAGATAGGTTCATTAACGCACATATTTGACATCTACTACATCTCTACATTAGTAGCCATCACAGTCACGGTAAGATATTCATAGCACACGTTCAGCATCTTAAGGAATGGCAGCATCAAAGGGAGAATGGATCTGGGTGGGATAGGGTGGAATCCTTTTCAGAGGAAGACTACATAAGTAACGTCAAACATTTTTGTGCTGTGATACAAATTAAACAATCATGAAGGGAATCATTTGCTATTTGTATCCTCGTGTCTTGTCAAGAACGGTGAAGTCGCCGCATAGCCTTATAATGTCATACAGCAGTGTTAACAAATCAATTTTGATCACTTGGAAACAAAATGACACTCACCAGATGTAATTCTCGATGATTTCCTTATAATACATTGCTTACAAGTAACAGCTTCCACCTAATTTTCAAAAATATCGTAGGCTGGTCAGAACTTGGCTACTTCCTAGATTCTCGAAAAAAACAAAGCACTCACCTCATGTCTAAGCCGCGTCAGCCGCGCCTTCACCTTCACCATTGTGGATGTCATTTCCAACATGATCACCAGCTTGAGGCTCATCTTGCAGCTCGATTTGAAAGGGGACATCAAAGGTGTAAATGATTCCGCGGTCCTTGTCAAAGATGTGCGCCGAGCGAAGGATAGGCACCACGTAATGGATGAAGGAATCAAGAAGTTGCTGCTTTGTGTCTAGGCGAACTCGAGGGATTGAGTGATAGAAACACTTTATAAAGTCACGAAGGTCGCTGTTGGTAGTTGTTTGGTGGTGAATAACAGAGAGATCAAGAGTGAAAAGTCGGGAAAGATGGGTTGGCCGTATGGTGTAGATGTGCATTGGGTGAGGAAGACCAGGAACAAGCGGACCATCTTCAGAGGGATGTAGATGGATCTCAATACCAGGTTCGTTTGGCTGAGGTGGCAGAGTTGGTTCATCGGGCAAATCAGTGATTGAAGACATTATTTTCGGAGGAATGTAGAGGTAATTTCTGATATGAGACGTCTTAAAAGTATGGTGATTGATGGCTATGAAACTATTGTAGTATTGATGGAAAAAAAGGTTGAAAAGGAAATCTACAATATGATCAAGAATATGATGCTTCTACTCTTGGATAGTGGAAGGTAGTCTCAAACACACCGTGAGTCAACACAGTTTTATAGTAGAGACGCGCAGCTTGATCAATTCTTTTGATTTTACTTTAGATTGATGAACTTTGACAAAGACCAACACGAGTGTTGATGATCAGGTAATTTCCAAAGGAACACTGGAAGAGAAGCGAAGAGTTTGCCCTTGCGTACTCTTTGCATTGCAATTTAGATTGATCACTTGCTCGGATTAACATCGCTTGAGTTTTGAAAAGCGGAAAAACTATTGTATGTAAATTAATTGAGCAAGAAGATCAAAGTTTCTTGTATTCACATACATACATACCATGTTTGCACCGGTGCCAATACTAAGTACCACTGTCATTGATGGCTCGAGCTGGTTCGAGTACTCAATCTAATTTTTTCTTCTGGCCCTCTTGAGTTATATTAATATATATGTATATATATGTATGCGTGGAATCATGATCCGTTGTAAGGCCCATACATTTTCACCGAAGTGTCTCATTATGAGGCCTGATGTGTCTTGTTATTTAGATTGATCACTTGCTCGGATTAACATCACTTGAGTTTTGAAAAGCGGAAAAACTATGTATGTAAATTAATTGAGCAAGAAGATCAAAGTTTCTTGTATTCACATACATACCCGGTGCCAATACTAATAGTACCACTGTCATTGATGGTTCGAGTACTCAATCTAATTTTTTCTTCTGGCCCTCTTGAGTTATATTAATATATATATATATATATGTATGCGTGGAATCATGATCCGTTGTAAGGCCCACACATTCTCACCGAAGTGTCTCATTATGAGGCCTGATGTATCTTGTTTATGATATTTATGAGTCCACACATTCAATATCACCATCAGTATCTCTGTTGTAGATACGTACTGATAACATTTATCTAGTACATACTAGATAACTCTAGATGAAGAGGATATTGCAAGATCACTCAGATGGCTTGAATTTGATCTCATATTTGACTTCATTGACCAAACTTGACCAAACTTGCACTGTGCTTGGTCACTTTTTCCAAGTGACTTGTGTGTTTTGTCAGGTGGTATCTTTTTAGCTCAATTTGGAATGAATCAAGACAGCTGCGCGATGACACAAAGCGCTTCCACAGACCTCTTAATTTTATTAGATTATACCCTTCATGCATGAAGGGTATAATCTAATATGCTTCATCCTCATAATCGGCCACATCAGATTCAATGAATGATTGGCATATTTAATTAAAACACTCAAAATTAAAGGTATCCAAACCAGAAATTTTCTACTCTTTCACCGTTTGAGTGAAAATTTGCCCTATATCATACAAGTTGAATTGAAGCAAGAAAAGAAACATGGATGCAAATCAAGTAAGAACCTTTCTATGAGGCTTTTGAATAATATTGTGAAAGAAAAGACAGTGAAAAGAATTCAAGATTCAAGTAAATCCTCAATCAAAAGTGGAGAGATCATTCAAGTGAAGTGTTCAGACCAGCTGAAAATCCTGTCCTTTGAATATAAGCTAAGCATCGTATCTGATCACAACTCCGAATTGTTGATTGAGTCATCTTCATCTCCTTCATCCAGACTCATCAACTGTCTGATAACTTGCTCCTGGACTCTAATGTCCTCAACTGCCGCACTCAACTTTCCACAAAGGCGCGTGACTTGAGATTCTAAGTTTGTCACAGCGACATGCAGTGATCCGAAATCTTTGATTGTACCTTCCAGACCTGCAACTGATACTTTGAGAAGACGAACTTCATAGGATAAAAAGAAACATTATTAGAAATGAGACAATAATTCACACTCAGTCTTAAACTTGCTCACATACCTTCTTCTTCTCGCCGCATCTCCTCAGCTAATATACTGAGATCAGACTTCTCGTTCATTTCCAGTTTCAATCGGAGGTCCTCGACTGCTTCCTCTAGGTCCCGGACTGATTGGAAGAGAAAGTCAAGCACATATTGCTTGTGGAGAGCAGTCAAGTGCACTCACTTTGCTGTACTCGTCGTCTTTCTTCCTGAAAGACTTCAGCACCAGACTTCTTGTCAAGACTCGTACTAGCCATGTACCTAACTGACATATCGATTGGTGGGATATCCACTCCAATAACTATTTGAATCAAAACATTGAGCAAATCTAGTTCAAGATGGACCAAAGCCTGAGTTTACTTACCTGGATTCGGCGAGTCCATCCAATTTGTTTCTGAGACATCAATAAGTGGCGGAACATCGTCGTTGGTTTTGATTGGAGCCTTAGATTTAGATTGAAGGGGCACAGTCATGCACTGCGACATTGATTTGGCTGGTATAGTTTTATCGAGTGATGTCCCATGCACCAGAGTACGGTGCGACTTTCCAGGTTTTGAACGCTAGGAAAGAGAAACATGAGGTGAATCCATATGGTCCGGGGACACCTCATGCCATACATATGAATGGACAACTGACCCATTTTTCGCTCTTACCTGCCTGTGATTTTTCCGATAAGACTGTGATCAGATTCCCTATATGCACGAGTATTTTTAGTAAATATCTCCAGGATAACCAAGCCAAAGAAAAACAAGTCAGGTAAAAAGGATCACCCTTGTCTGAGCGCTTGGAACCCCGCTCACCATCGAGCTCGTGGGCCGTGGCTCGTTTTTTTTGTACAGTAGTATTGGTGCACGAGTCCAATTGCGGAGGAGTCGCGACAGACGGCAAGAGAGAAGCAGAGAGATTCTCTTGGATCTGGGAGTAGGACATACAACTTAGCCTCAGATTGAGATCATGCGGACACTGAGTGTGGGAAAAGACGTACCGTAGATGTAACAGGGTTGACAGACCTGGTCAAGCTCCCTGAGACGCTTGGGGAGCAAGTGCCAGAATTCGAATTGAGAGCTGGGGCTTCACTATCCGGGTCGGGAAAATCTGTTCGAGCATATGTATGATTAGTGCATTCTGACAATGTTGGCATGTAGGAGTGATTGAAATAAAGTACATACAATCAGGTTGTAGCTCGCGGACTATCTTGGCAACTTCGTTCTTGTTGAGTCCGGACTTAATAGGTGTCTGAGGATGATTAATGCGAAGCCAATCTAGCATGATCTGTTTGCTCATGCCGCGATTGCTTGGGTCAAGCATGATGAAGCAGTGGAGAATGATAAGATTTGTGAATATGAAATTGATCGAATAAGAGGTTTGAAGGAACTGATAGAGTGAAGATCAAGGCGGGGTTGAAGTGACGGACGATACTGATTGGTTGTTTAAAAACGATGACCAAATAAGAAGTGAAAAAAATCGGAGAGGAAAAGATCCAGACAGGGTTGAAGTGACGGGAAAAGAATCAACAAGACAGGTATGACGCATATAAGCTGAGATTGGGGTGGAAGTTGTTGTCGTGGACCCGTAAAGTCAGCAAGAAAGTTGTGGCTGTGGAATACTCATCGAGTGTGGTGGTATCCAACAAGTTGCAGAATATCGTTTGAACTATTAGGATAAGGGCAATCATGATCAGATGACCATAAACATGAGGTAGAAACAAAAGAAATGAGATGACATACCTTAATCGTGATTAAATAACCTGACTACCAGATACGTTTCGTCATACAACAACCAGTCCACTAAAAGCCATTTTGCCGGATGATTGATCGAAGTGATGAATCGGGTCGCGTGCTGACAACAAATCTGAAAGAGTGAAAGGCAAGTAAGTAGAAATCGATAAATTGAGATACAAATCCATACACCAATATGTATAAGTCAATTTAAATACATTTGTACCTATTTGTACACATGTAGCATCAGTTGTCTTTATGACAACGTCAAATGTGTGGTTTTCTTTTGGATTTTGAGATATTGATAGTTGAAGAAGCCCAGTGAGGCAAATCATCTCGAGAGTAATTGAACATTCACTACATCTAAGATTCTTGAAGTTAAACATCTCAGCATGGTGCTCAGCAAGGACCTAAGACAATGAAAGAGACTTATGATATGACTGATGGTTGATTTTGACACGTACTCTGTTGTGTTTAGTAGATTTATCTGTCTTACATAACACATACCTATCACATGGGTTATGTAAGTACCCACTTTTCTAAACCACCTGGTAAATATTATTTTTTGGGTAGTGTAATCACCTCAATCTTCGTGTCCGCCGCGGTGTGAATGAGCGCCTGGGTGCGTCGAAAGTGTGATTTAAGGACACTAAAAGCTTTTTCGATCGGATTGAGATCCGGTGAGTAAGGAGGCAGATACAATACTCGTATACCATGTTCGGCAGCCAGCTCGGCAATCCTACCACCATGGTGGATGCGAGCATTATCCATTACTAAAAAGAGTTGGCTTGGGGGTAGGGATTCATAACCGGAAACTGTGACCATCCACAAACAAAGCACTAGGTCAATATCCATAAGCATAGATCAAACAAAAGAAAACACGTACCAATCAATGCTTAAGGAAGCTTTCAAAATCCTGACAAACGTACGATCCTTCTTGGCAGTCAAGTGCCAAAACTCTGTTATGGGCTTCGGTAGTATCAGAGATCAGAGATAGGTGATCTGATATAGTAACTAAGATTGAAGCATGAGTGTACAACTAACTGGCGCGCAGGGATTAATGGTAGCGGCCCTCTACTCAGTACAAGCATAATCACCTTATAGGGATCACAACACTACTCCCCCTTTACGTCGCGCCCTCCTTTGTTGGGCCGACGTCTTCCCCCGGGCTAGCATTAAAAAACCCCAGTAGGGAAAAAGCATCGCCCTCACTTTACCCTCCGTGTCCTTTTATAATTCTTTTCTGCCTCTGGGTATCTGCTATTAAACTTATCCACTAATTCTTTTGCGTTTCCTAAGCTACCCTCTGGTTCCCAAGTATCATCCTCTGGTCCATACCCTTTCCAACTAACAAGGTATTCGATTTTTGAGCCTCTCTTTCTCTTATTGAGTATATCCGCTACTTCAAATTCCTCTTCCTCGTCCACAATAATTGGTGGTGGTGGTTCTTGATGTTGTCCCGCTATTGTGCTTTCTTCATAAGGTCGCAGGAGTCCTACAGAGAAGACTGGATGGACGCGGCTCATAGATGCAGGTAGGTTCAGTTTATAAGCATTCTTTGAGACCCTTGCTAAAATGGAAAAGGGACCTAGCCATTTATGCGCAAATTTGGCGCTTGGTCTTGTTGTTGAGATATGCCGCGCGTCGAGCCATACCTTTGACCCTACTTGCCAGTCCGGTGAGTCACGTTTACTTTTGTCATAATGAGCTTTCATCGATTCTTGCGCTAATACAAGTGATTCTCTTAATTCGTCCTGGACCTCCTTCAATTGAGCTAACATCTCCTCTACCGCTGGTATGCACTGTTCACTCGATGGAATTCGTGAATAAGTGATGTTGTATCCATAGTTGGCCTTAAACGGTGAGATTCCGGTCGACGTATGGGGACTATTATTATAAGCAAACTCTGCAAGGTCTAATAAGTCAGTCCAGTTATCTTGTTTATAGCTAACAAAATGGCGTAAATACTGTTCCACTGCCTTGTTGGCTATTTCGGATTGGCCATCCGTCTGGGGGTGATACGCCGTCGAGGATTGCGTCCGAATGCCTAGTTGGTGATTCAATTCCTTCATTAATTTTGAAATGAATACGTTTCCTCTATCCGATGTGACTGATTGCGGAGTGCCGTGATATTTCCACACATATTTTATCATTGCTTTTGCTAATTCTTCTGATGACATAGTTGTTTTGCAAGCAATAAAATGGCACATCTTGGTTAGTCGGTCAATCACGGTCAGTATGCAGTCCATTCCATTTGACACTGGTAAGTCTGTTATTAGATCATAACAAACATCCGTCCATGGTCCTGATGGAATCGGTAGCGGTTGCAGTGATCCAAATGGTTTTGTTGATCTTGATTTCACTCTTTGACATGAGTGGCATCCATCCACATACGCATTGATAAACGCCTTCATTGATGGCCACCGGTAGTTACGCTTTACAAGGTTCAAGGTTTTCATCCGGCCTGGATGTCCTGCTAGTGGACTGTCATGGCGCGATTTGACAATCTTCCTCTTCAGCTCGGTGTCGTGAGGTACTTCTACGATCCCTTTGAAATAAAGTAATCCACCGGTATAAACATATTCATCCCATCTTCCTTCCTTATGACTCTCACATGTTGAAATGATATCTGACAATCTGCTGTCCTTATGTAACGTCTTCCGGATTTCATTTAATAATTGGCTATCATCCCATACCGTTTCGTCCTCATCATCTATTGGTTCGTCGTTCTCATCCTTGACTTCCTCTACTCCCTCCTCATCCTCAAGGAAATACGAAATGTCACACTCCTCCTCTTCAAACCAATTGTCTATCACTTCCAGTTCATGAATAAATGCATCTGCAGGTAAGTTTGAGGGCTTTAAAATTTGTCCGTACGTCAGCTTTTGTCCATCTTCTGGCTTGTGATCCGGTCGTCTAGACAAAGCGTCTGGTTTTGTCGACTGTCTTCCCGGACGAAAGCGAATCTCGAAATCAAAACAAGCAAGGGTTTCGGCCCATTGCGCCTGTCGACGTGTGAGCTCCTTTGTTGTCATCAACGACTCCAAATTCTTATGGTCCGTATAGACTATAACATTAAGGCGGTGAGGGTTTCCTTCTAAGTAATGACGCCATTCCTTAAATGATGACACGACCGCTAATAATTCTTTATCAAAAATTTCGTAGTTTCGTTCCGCCTGAATCAATGAACGGGATAGGAAGGCTACTGGATGTAGTTCACCGTCGTCCTCCGACACCTGAGATAGCACCGCTCCCAGCGCAAAATCACTGCAGTCACATTCTAACACAAAAGCTTTATAAGGATCGGCTATCTTCAAAACTGGTGCAGTTGTAAAGGCTTCCTTCAGGGATTTAAAAGCTAAGTCTCGTTCATCGGTCCATTCAAAGGGTACTTTATGTTGAGTCAGTTCGTGTAGAGGCCGGGCTATTCTTGAAAAGTTGTTGATAAACCGTTGGTAGAAGTTAGCAAACCCCACAAATTGCTGTACCTCGCTAACGTTCTTTGGTGTAGGCCAATCAGTTACCGCCTTGACTTTGTCGCTGTCCATGGATATCTTATTAGGGGACAATTTCAACCCAAGGTATGTAATTTCTTCTTGAGCGAATTTGCACTTCTCCGGTTTCAGCCAGACGTTTTGTTCGCGTAATGTATCTAACGCAGCTTTGACCGCTTTCTCATGATCTTCACCCGGTTTGGTATAAATTAGAATGTCGTTTAAGAACGCAGCCATGTCTCGACCTATTCGATCTCGGAATATATCTTGAACAAAGTATTGAAAGTAACCTGGGGCTCCAGTTGGACCAAACGACATTGTACGTGGTTCAAATTGTCCGGCCTTGCAGATAAACGCTAATTTTGCTTCGTCACCTTCCCTCACTCGTAGATTATTATACCCATTTCGCATTTCGAGTGCAGTATATCTATCGGCGTCTAGTAAGCTATCAATCAATTCCATTGTCAACGGAAGCAGGTATTTATTCTTGACCGTGAGTGCGTTTAATTTTCTATAATCAAAGCAGGGACGTAATTTTCCGTCTTTCTTTCCAGTAAACAATACGGGGGCAGCCCAGGGCGATGTTGTACGTTGTATAGTTCCTGAAGCTAGTCCTTCCTCTATCATTTTGTTGAGGACTTCGTTTTCAGCAGGTGATAAAGGTATAACTCGGTTAGCTTGAGGTGTGGCATCAGGTACTAGATCCACACAGAAATCGTACGGCCGGTGCGGAGGTAGAACTCTTGATTTAGACTTCTCGAACATAGGCAGATAATCGTGGTATTCCTTGGGGACCAGGTCAGCTGCCGACAGCTTGGTACTCTCAGATGTCTTCTCCGCAGCTAGCTTTGCAGAAACATTCCATGAGGCTCGTGCCGCGTCCAACCTCGGTGTTTGTAGGATCATAGGATTAGGCAGGAATGACCGGT